CGATTATAATGACTTAAAAAAATATATATTTTACAGTAAATTATTTATCGCATGCATATAATAAAAGTAATCATAAAACAAAATACCAGACTATTACTCATGATTACAACTTCGAATTATAGAGGCAGCGACAATAGAAATTCGACTTATAGAGGTTAACTTCGACTTGTAGAGGACTAGCTGCTTTAAATTCGAATTACAGAGATAAAATAATAGATATAAACATCTGACAAATAATTCGAGTTAAGGTAAGTTTTATTTCGATTTATAGAGGTTTTCCGCAGTGCAGTGAAGCGAAAGGGAACAAACAAAATTTTCGTTTTATAGAGGTTTTCGAGATTCAAGTTATCGAGGTTCGACTGTATCAACAATACAGATTCTATTAACAAATTCTAAAATCCGTCACGAGAGCGTGACGCATCCTGCACAATAATAGCACTTGTCTTAAAGAGTTTCGGAAAAGTTTGACATTTTGTAGTACAGTCGAACTTCGATAACTCGAATTTCTATAAGGCGAAAATTTTGTTCATTCTTTTCCGCTCCGCTGCGGAAAACCTTTATAAATCGAAATAAAACCTACTTTAACTCGAATTACTTGTCAGGCATTTAGATATATATTTTATCTCTGTAATTCGAACTTAAAGTAGCCAGATCTCTGCAAGTCGAAGTTCACCTCTATAAGTCGAACTTTCATTGTCGCTATCTCTATAATTCGAAGTTGCTATATGTGTAACCTTGAGTAAAAGCCAGGTATTTTGATTTGTGGATACATTTATTATATATGTATGCAATAAATAATTCACTGTTAAATATTGATTTTTTTCTTTAAAAGTCATTATAATCGGAAAATTGTAAACTCTCGTACAAAGCCTCCGTAAGTCGAATTTTTATATGTTAATCCACTCGAATTTCGATAAGCCAAAAATTCTATAACTCGAACAGTTTTTCTGATCCCTTGAAAAATTCGAGTTATCGAGGTTCGACTGTATTTTGTATTTTATTAGCAGTACTCACATAGTCGACATGACAACCCACGTAGAATAGACGCAGAATAGATGAATCGATGTTGCTCTTAAGGAATAAAGGTGCACCGCACGAGTGCAGACTACGGAATGAAGCGCATGCCACGATGAGAAAAGACGACTGCATTTGCGCGAACTTCGACGAAGAATGTGTCGTGGGGTGACACTTTTCTTTTACGGGAAGTAAGCATCGGTTGAATTTCCCCCATTTCGCACCCTCTGTCGATCGATCGCTTAATCACCCATTCTTTTCCCCCAGGCAAAAACATCAAGCTGCGAGTGTTTCGATCTTACGGTACCAATCTATCTATTATCTAGCATTACATTTGTGCTGAATTAAGCAATTTAGAATTTATGCGAAGAAAGAAAATTTTAAGATAGTTTATTGATTCTTCCACAGGGAGGGGAATACGCCGATTCCTCGCCACCCGTTTCGTAGTCAGACGCAATACGTTCTTCGCCGAGGGATGATCTGTGTTGTGTCCCAACATTTCAACTTCAATAGAATCATTTTACTCTCGATTGGCTTATGGCCTTATCAACGAACGAAGTTAATTCAATTCCAGATGATGTTGTTTTTTAGTATCCTGATTAGCTGTGTTATATATCAAGTAAATCCAAATTTTCATATCCTCAGTTGCATTGCAATATTTACGAAATGCTATTTTTGAAAATATAGTTGTGCTATATTTTTATTAATAATATATGTATAATAAATAAATATGTATATTGGATTGTAATAAATGGAAATTGTTTGTTGCGCCATTATGTGTGACGGAGGAATCGATTATTTCATGTTCTTCGATAAATGAATTAAGCAAAGAAATAACCATCTTAATATCATTTTCTAAAGAAATTTATTAATTGCAGTTTTCAGCATTTGTTTTTGTAGACTGCACTCCTGACCTTGTCTTTAAGGTTCTTTCTTTGGCATTGTTTTTTTGTATGTACACAATCGAATACAACTCTTTTCGAATTAATAGTCAAACTGTAAGTTGCTGGTTTTTTAATGTATTACCCATAAACTGTTCTTCACTCAAATTTATTCCAAAATTTGAACAACAAGACGAATGTCGAAAACTATTTTCGGTACCACAGATGATATTGTCATTGGAACAACTTCAATGTATCTGTGACGATCTGAAAGACGAAAAAGAAATCAATATTATGAAGAAATACGGAACAGATGCGAAACGTTATACAGCTTTATTCGTATGTAAGAAAACATATACTGACTTTCAATACACGTCGTAAATTCGGAATAGATTATAATAAAAATAAAATTTCCAGACAACATAAAGTTTTAAAATCGACGCATAAGACGTCTTTTTTTAGTCCTTTTAGACTTTTAGATAGTTTTCATGGAACTATCTGAAAGACATCTTAAAGACGTCTTATGCTTCAAGTTTAGACTTATATTGTTATAAATATATTTAAAGTAAAACTTTTTGTTTTTAATTTAAACTGCGTAT